GCCGGGCCGGCCGGGGGCGGGGAGCCGTCCCCTGTCCAGTCCCCGAGCACCCAGGGGCCAGCCAGAGGCCGTAGATGGTGCGTGGCCTCCTGGACTAGTGCGGAGGTCATGGACCTCATTGAGATTTGGGGGCAGGCCCCCAATCTCCAAGATCTCCGGATTTTGTGGATCATTCTGTGCAACACATTTTTTATTCTATATCTCCCCAATCTAACTTTTTTCTTTAAATTCAAATGGATGCAATGATATACAGATTCTGGCATGTATCTACATAGGTAATTTTTTTCTTTGTTTCCACAGTAGTAAAATCCAGAATGATTTTGCAAATATAAACTTAGTGAAATACAGAACTGAAATATGCTTAAGAATTTCTAATGATAGCCTAATATTAAATTAAATCTGAGACCTATTTGTCTTGGCTGATTTAAGCAGCATTAACTGAATAACTCTTCAGATGATTTCTGGAACTCTTGGCTTTCTTTTTAGAGAAACCATATTAAAAAAAGAAGTAGATGAAGAGAGAGCTTCTTTACAGAAATCCATCAGTGTTACTAGTGCCTTGATCACAGAGAAAGATGAAGAACTGGAAAAACTCAGAAATGAGGTATTTTTTAGAATCATAGTCCTTAAACTATAAGGTATCACTGGCTTTTCAAAATTGTTTTTATTAATAAATTCTGGAAATACAGATTTTTCGAAAACTGCTCCCTAAAGTTGAGCTTCTAAATCATTCCTGATGTGTTCAAATAGGTCTCTGATAGTAAAGAGAAGCTCAACAGGTATTGGCTTCCAGAAAGGTTGTGGGTGCTCTCAACACTTCTGAAACTTAAGTTGCTAGTTTACATAGATGCCTAAATAAGGATATAAATTCATGCTTTGAGCACTCACTTTTGAACAGCTTGTTGCTATTTCTGTCTTTTTTTTTTCTTTTTTTTTTTTTTCAAATCAAAGAAGGTTTTGAACTTCACTTGTGTTTGTCATATTTTTACTGGCATTTATTCTACTTTGATAACATTCTCTTGATGGTTTTGGTTTTAGTCCAAACTGTATAAGCATTCCCAATTAATTATTGCAGATCACAGTGCTCCGTGGAGAAAATGCCTCTGCAAAAACCTTGCAGTCCGTAGTTCAGTCATTGGAGTCTGATAAGTTGAAACTTGAGCAAAAGGTGAAGAACCTGGAGCAGAAACTCAGTGAGACCAAGAAACAGCCTTCTTCTATAACTAGCTCCTCAGGTAACCTATAGGCTGCCCATTTGCTGTTTAAGTGCTCTCTCAGTCTATTTGAACATTTTTGTACCTTTACTGTTAACTGATCAATATTGTATACCTGTAAACCTGATCATTAGCAAGAGTCTTAATATAGTCACCTTTTTCACTTAAGGTGGCTTTATAATTGTTTAATAGTCACTCGTAAAACTTTAAATGAAGGAAATGGGACTAAATTCAAATCTTAATCTAAGACTTTTGATGTCAGTAGTTGCTCCCATATACATTAGTGATGAATTTGACTTAACATATGTATGTGAATCCATTTCAAATTTGTATCCTTATAAATAGTATATATTTCCTGTGCACAAAAGCATTTCTTAGTGAATTCATTATAACTCCTGAAAACCTGTTCTCGCGGCATGAAAAGAAATTAGACCTGGTCGCAGCACAGAACTGGGAGCCAGGACCTTATGATTTCTAATCCAGATTTTGTGTGGACTCGCTAGCCTTTTTCCAAATCACTTAAAATTTCTGCCTCAATTCTCCCTCTGTAGAATGGAGAGAATACTTGCCTCATAGGGAATTTATAAGGATTAGTCATTGCTTGTATATCACTTTGAACATGTAATATATGATATTGAAAGTATGGTGTAACATACCAGTGGTAAATGTCAGCAGTATCAATATATTGATTGTCTCTACTGATTGATTTAGAAATATATGGATGTAAAGTTCTCAGAAGGTAGAAAACTTATGTGGATTTGGTTTGCTATTGTGTTTTATATATTGCAAGATTTTTACATCTCACTTTTTTTCTTTAAAAGGTGACAATGCTGCTAATCCACTCCATGAAGAAAAAGCAAAGGAGAATCAGGTATTGAATCTGAATAAACAGCCTTCTAAAGTAGTAACATACCATTAGCAACCTGGTCCTAAGTAAAATGTCTTCCCAAAGATAAGTCTCAGAGGAGTAGCCATATTAATCTGTATCTGCAAAAACAAGGAGTTCTGTTTGTCTGACGTGCCACAGGACTCCTTGTTCTCTTTGTAAGAGAAGAGGGAGAGACAAACAGAGGCTCATGAAGAAAGCGAAACAACAGATAGAAATAACGGTAGGCTTAATGGGGACCAATATGTATTGAGTGATACTAATCTGATCATAAGCATAAGTTGAATAAATATAAGTGTAGTTAAAGGAAGGGCACAGTCATCCTTCAACTTCTGTTAATGGATATCAATGGAAAATTGAGAGACTATAAAGTCCTGAATTTATCTCGGCCAATGGACTGTAATTTAATTTAGAATCTTTGCGTTTGACACCTTTGTTATACACACTGCATAAAAATACCAATTTAGCCTTGCCCTTGAAAACAGAAATAATTTAGCATGCACAGGAAAACTACTAGGAGTAGTCAATTTTCTTCTCAATAAAGCGCTCAATACAGTCAGTTACTTTTATGAAGCTTTTTCTTCCTTAAATAAATAGTCACTGATGAAGCTTGTTACAAGTAATAGGCCCACACTGAGCCATCAGCTTCAAATAATTTTAGGACTTCAACTTGAAACACTAGTTAGCTTGCCATCTCTAATGGTATCAGAAAAGGTTCCATACCCATCAGCTACGTCTAGATTGGCCACATAAGACGGAATAGGCATGCAAAGCAGGCAAGTCAGAATAGGGAAATCCGCGGGGGATTTAAATAAACATGGCCACCGCTTTTTTCCGGCTTGGGGAAAAGCCGGAAAAGAGCATCTAGACTGGCGCGATCCTCCGGAATAAAGCCCTTTTCCAGAGGATCTCTTATTGCAAGTAGGAATAAGAGATCCTCTGGAAAAGGGCTTTATTCCGGAGGATCGCGCCAGTCTAGACGCTCTTTTCCGGCTTTTCCCCAAGCCGGAAAAACCATGCAAATCAGGTAAGTCAGGATAGGGAATTTTCTTTCAGGGAGGAATAAGAGATCCTCCGGAAAAGGGCTTTATTCCGGAGGATCGCGCCAGTCTAGACCCTCTTTTCCGGCTTTTCCCCAAGCTGGAAAAAAGCGGCGGCCATGTTTATTTAAATCCCGCGGGGGATATTTAAATCCCCCGTGGATTTCCCTATTCTGACTTGCCTGCTTTGCATACCTATTCCGTCTTATGTGGCCAGTCTAGACGTAGCCATCTTGTAGAAAGAGGCTGCCAGCCAGTAATGAAGGAGAATGACACTCCAGCAGACCCCACCCAATCCCTGTTACCAAATGCAAAGTTACAGGAAACAAAACCCATGATAAAATGATTTCAGATGGCCTCACTCTTTTAACTACTTCTCTCTGGGGAAGAAGAGGTGATTCTGAAGAGCTTCATGATCCCTCTGTTCTCCTGTGGATATTCCTATAGGGCAGGGGTCAGCAACCTTTCCAAAGTGGTGTCCCAAGATTTAACCCTCCTGCCCTGGGCTGTACCACTCTCCCGGGAGGGGAGAGGGGCTCTCTCCACTGTGTGCTCTGTGGACCATCTGTGCAAACCTTTCCGCGGACTAGCAGTTGTTAATGGAAACTCACTGTTAATTACATAATTATGCCCAAACCATTTTGCTAGTGCTGCAGCTGGGGAGAACAGTTTAATTTAAATTATTAAACAGATTAAGGATTTTAACTCTCTCATGTTAGCTTATCTAACTTCATTTTAAATGTAAACACAAGGTTTCAATGTTTTCTTTATTTACAGCAGGCATGGGGAGCCTTTTTTGGGTTGGAAGAGGCCACTGACCTACAGAAAAAAATCAATTGGGGCCCACACAAGTGGGAAGCAAAAAACTCCTCCAAAAACCTCCAACCCTCACTGATGTGGCCCTCAGCTAAAACACCTCACTTTTCTGGCACTCTAGCCCCCACGAGGTGAGGGGAAGGGACAGGGAGGATGAGGTTCAGGGCTTCCCATAGGCCAGATTTACTTTTCTAGGGTTCCAGCATTAGTGGATTTTGTGAATCCCCTTAAGCTCTGGGGTGGGAATAAAAATGAGGGACAGGGCAGCCAGTGAGTGCAGGACAGGGCAGCCAGTGAGTGGGATAGGGATGCAGGACTGGGTGAGGAGGGCAGAGTCTGGAAGGGAGTGTGGTGGCAGGAGAGGGTGTGGGGTGGGGAGTTGGGGGAGTAATGCAGAAAAGGTGAGAGGGTGAGAATGCGCCAAATAGCTAGCTGAGGAGGGAGACAAAGAAGTGGGGAGTAAAGGAAAGTGCAGCTTCTGCAAAGTAAAACTGTATCCCCCTCACATCTTCCCTCTGCTTCAGCCTCACTCCCCTCAGCCCCATGATCTCCCCCAGCCTGATCCCCTACATCACTTCATGCCCCTCAGTGCAACCCTTGCCCCCTCCCATCCTGCCCTCGCAGCCTGATTCCCTGCATTGCCCCATGCCCCTCCCCTCCTGCCCCCATATCCCTATGCCCCCAGCACACTTGACACATTTGACAGCAAATCTCTAGAAAACCGGCTCTCACCAGATTTTTTTTTTTTTTTGCCTACACAGAGCGAAAGGATGGTCTCTGCCCCAAAGAGCTTACTGTCTCCAAACTTGTTGTAGATCTTGTAAATAGGGTTGCCAGGAGTCTGGTTTTGAACTGGACCGTCCAGTATTTGAGCTTTCTGTTCAGGAAACAAATTGAGACAATATAAATGAGAAAATATAAAAGTCCAGTATTTTCTAAAGATGTAATGTAGATTGTGATGTAATGTCAAGTGTGTCCAGTATTTTTGTTGAAACCATCTGGCATCTCTACCGGCTGGACTCAGAGGCGTGCCTGGAAAGGGGCTCCCCGATCCTGCACACAGCCCATGGGGAGAAGCCCAGCGCACTACGTGTGTCAGCTGCCCAATCCCGGCTCTGCAGAGCAGGCCCAGCCCCGCCCACACCTGAGTTAACCCCTAGCTCCCAGGAGCTACACATGCACGCTGGGCAGGGGCAGCCCCTGCATGTGCCTATCCCACCCCTCACCCCCAGCAGGAAGCTGGAGCCACAGCATGAGCCCCTGACTGTGTGGAGGGGAGGGGCAGGTCTGAGCTCCCACTCCATGTGTCACAGGATATCGGCTCTCATGTCGCTTGTGGCACTCATGCCAGGGGTTGAAAATACCCCCCCCCCCCCCCCCCCCAAATCAGTTTTCTATGTGATGCATCCACACTACCAACCTGTTATTCTGAAATAAGGGACTGTGGAATTCAAACTCTGTAGTCCTGCTATTCACGAGGAGCAAGGCTATTCTCAACTTGTAAGTCCAAAATAATGTTAGTGTAGATGCTCCAGTGCTGCTAATTCAAACTAATTGGCCTCCGGGAGGCCACCCACAGCTTCCTAGAGTGCTTTCTGGGGCTCTGAATCGGAGGCAGGCTCTGTTACTGTGGACATGCTACCTGGGGCTACATTTAATTCTCCCCTGTAGGGAGGACGCGGAACTTCACACTTGTAAAATCATGTGCCCAGAAGTTAAACTTGGTAAACTTGAAATAATTGCCTAGTGTAGATATGGCCTAGGAAGTTATTGTCAAGCCCACTAGAAATTAGGAAGAGCAAATGGGACTATAGAGGAAACACACACACACACACACAACCCATTATCTATATGATAGAATGATCAGTAGTTAAAGTGAACATATTTCTTTATATATTCTACACCAGCTCATAGTGGGATAAAGTCTTAGACTAGTCATTGCAACACCTTGCCTTGTAGTTTGAGTCACTGTTTATTTTTTCTCCTCATCTGAATGTGAAAAATTACAAGATTTACAAGTGAGAGAAGGAATAAAACAGTAAGCTATAGCTTTTATACACCAAGACTGTTAGTTAAATCAGCAACATATTTAAGCCTTGTATTCCTTGTTTAAATACATATGTAGAAACAGAGAATTTAACAATGAGTAGGGTAGAGTACCACCACAAGGTTTGTGCATCACTTAAGTCACTTAGCTCATTATACCTTCAAAATACTTTTCACTACACAGTACTGCTAATTTAGTCTTGCACATGTTCATTTTCTGAGTTTAGCAAAAAAAAATCCAAATACATACTGTACATACAGAATGTGGCTTTCAAATGGTCATAACTTAATCAAATCATAGCCAAATTGCTCCAGAATATTTGAAAGTGAAAGTGATGGCATGGTTCCTTTTCTTCCCACACAATGGAACGCCATGCAATAGGTCACCAGTGTGAAGGGCCTGTTGTTCTGACTAAGCCCAACTTTATAATAGAGACACTTGGTTGTTCTAATTTACCAATTGATTACTTATTGTGTAGGATACGTAAAATGCCAAATACCCCTATTTGGGATACATCCCCCCAAAAAATGCTACGCCAAATACCCCTATTTGGGATACATCCCCCCCAAAAAATGCTACCTAACTATGTGCATAGTTGACAGTTTCATGGCTACGTCTGTACTTTTTGCTTATCAGAAACAGAAGTACCGGTATAAGGTTGCTTGTCGTGCGTTCTTGACATGGTCTCGTGCACCATGCTTAATCTGCATTGTTATTCAAAACATTCCTTCCTCTCAGGCCTTGCCTCTGTGCTTATTTGTACCAGACTTGAGTCAGGCCTGGGTTTGCTTTTAGGCAGACATCACCATTTATTGCCAAAGCAGGGTAGTCCAGGCTCCCCTACACCCACCTCTGCCATAAATAAAGAAAACATGGGAACCTTTTGTGTTGGACATAAATTAATATTTTACTTTATTTAAAATTAAGTTTGATAAACTAACACAAGAAAGTTAAAGCACTTAAACTGTTTAATAATTTCAATTAATATTTCCTTTCTTATAGGTTAAATTAAACCATTCTCCCTTGCTGCAGCACTAGCAAAATGGCTTGGGTGTAATTATATAATTAATGCCAAATTTCCATTAGCAACTGGTAGTCCACAGAAAGGTTTGTATAGAGGCCAAAAAGTTTGAGAACTGATCTAGTTCTGATCTCACTGATCTAATCTGGCCTTTTGT